GGGGGCAGAATTAACAGAACAATGGGGATCTGCATTTTTCACCTCACCAAGTTGCACTGTGTTAGTTTTAATTTGTTTTCCTTTCAGTTCATGAAAAGTAGAAAACCTGGGTAATGAGCTTCTGCAGCCAGACCACAATAGTGAGGACTCTCATTTATCTTCCTCACTGAAGTGCTTCGTCCCTGTGTGCCACATTGCACCTCTCCAACACTTTGCTGTTCCAAGTCCTCCTTGTTTACCTTCTGACAAGACATATGTTCTAGCTGAGCGTGTGTGACCCTCTTGGAATCCAGCACAAATGCTCCCTGGAAATTCCTCCCTTTGCTGGAGCAATCACTACTTTACTCTTTGCCTTAATAACACCTAAAATGCTTTCCCCCTCTGAACGCACCACAGCACTTCAGATAATATTGAATCTGAAGAATTTCACTCTTGTTCAAGGCTTGGGCGACTTCCAGAACTGGGATATTACTATGGATGTGAGCAGCTCTCAAAAGAATGTTCCATTAATTTACATTCTGCAGTGCAATTAAACTGGCATTTGAATAATGAGAGTTGCTGAATTCTGTATATCTTTTGTTGATTTTAGGAAAGATTCCCATTGACTCTCACCACTCTTTGGCTCCACAGATGCAACCTTTGTGCTTTAACCTGCCACAAGAATTATGTGTATTATAAACTATATACAAATTAAGCATTGTACATAGACGAAGTGAGCTGATGTAGTAGGATATTAAATCTTAGAATCATTGAATGGTTTGGGTTGGAAAGGGCCTTAAACACCACCCAGTTCCAACCCCCCTACCATGGCCATGGACACCTTCCAGTAGACCAGGTTGCTCAAAGCCAGGACTGTCTTGAAGGCCTGAATTGTTGCTCTCAGTTTATCCAGTTCCTCTGACTTTAGGGTGAGTCAGTGGAAGGGAAGCAGTGCTATCTTTTTTTTTTTTTTTGCAAGTCCATTTGAGTTTATCTTTTCTTTTCCTTTTTTTTTTTTTTTAAATAATTTTAAACGGCTGAAGTGAAAAAATGTTCCACTTCACATCCCAGTTAAATTTTTATATTTCTCTTTTCAGGAAAAAAAACCTCCAAAAAACATAGCATACCTGTTTTAAGATTTTATTCAAAATAAAGCATAGTTGGTTTTATTTGGTCCTGTCCTTCCCTTCCCTTCCCTTCATCCAAACAAACACAACCAGCTGTTCACACAAGCCCTAATCACCAATCCAGCTGGAGAATTCCAAAGCTTTCCTCTGAGATGGGGGAGCTGGTGAGAGCCCAGGATTGAGACACACTCTGTAATTTTGACTCCAAGCTTTATCCTTGCCCAGTTCTGGCCACAATTACAGTAATTCTCTCTGAAACTGCTGGTTCCTGGCCAATAATGGAAGCAGGGAAAGATAAAACCATCCAGCTTTCTTCTCCAGGTCAGCTAAATGTGATTACAAGCAACCTTTTAATTTACAAACAGATCCTTGGAAATGTGACCATCACAAACTGAGGAAGGGTTGAGTTCAGACTCAGCCAGGAGGGACCTTCTCCCATCGTGGACAAACATGTTTGGCACCTTCTCAAGAGGCAGAGCCTTCCTGGAATAGCTCCCTAGGAACCCTCTGTTTAGCCTCCTGTGACCTAAACAGGACACAAGGAGAGAGGGCTGGAATTTAGTGCAGAATTAGATGACACGAGCACTGACTTGGTGGGAAATGAGAGACAGGATGGAACGAAACCCCACACCCAGTCCAAACCAAAAATCACATTACACACATAAATTTATTACACATGATAAATCCCCTCATCACTGCCAATCAAAGTCATGTTTCTACCATACTCCCATAATTTTTAGCTGGGAGCAGATGGGACATAATGAAATATTATGGATTCTGACTGCTTTATGTCAAAGAGCTCGGAGTTCAGTGGCTGATAAGAAGCAGCCATTGATTAGGCATCCCAGGGTAGTAAATCTGCTGGGGGAGGCAGACTCTGGGCAGCAGTGACCAAGTCAGTGTTGGGGTCTTGCTGCTGGTATTTTCCTTCTTCCTTCATAAAATAAGAATCACAAGTGGATTCAGGTAAAAAGTGACCATGGGGTGTAGCCACTTTTCAGGACCTGCAAGGGAAAGATTCACAGATATGTGGGTGTTTTGTGATGTGGTTCAACCCCAGTTTGATTCACATCAAATACTGGCATCACTGGGCTCGAAAAGTCACTTCCCAGCTCCCACCCACACCTTGATTTGGAGCTGATATTAACTGACAACACCCCTGCTTGTCAACCAGCACATCTAATCATTAAGGCATTGAATTTTGGAGTTGAATTAATTGTCCCATCCTTGGAAGTGTTCAAGGCCAGGTTGGATGGAATCCTGAGCAACCTGGTCTAGTGGGAGGTGTCCCTGCCATGGCAGGGACAGGCAGGGGAGTTGGAACAAGATGATATTTTAGGTCTCCTCCAACCCAAAGCATTCTGTGATTTTATGTTTCCTCCTAATGTGTGGACAACAAAGTGTGCTTTAGAGTGTCTTGGTCTTGATTCCCCAAACACACCAACCCTCAGGTTTATAAGCCAGATGTTCTCCTTTCTTTCTTTTGTGTCGCAGTCAATGCACAATAATCACGTAGATTTGTTCTGAAAACCAAGAGCAGGAGTGATGTGGGCTGGTTTCAGTGTGCCAAGTTGCTTCCTGTACTCTCAAGGTGTGTGTGATAAGGGTTCAAGGCTTTGATCTTAACTGGGAGGAGTGGAAATACTTCCAAGGAGAGACGTTCAGTCAGTAGGTGGACTCCAGGAGAGGGTTCATCACTGAGCACCATAAACAGGGATCTAATGCCATGTACAAAAAACTCTTGCCTTTCTGGTCTTTGGCTGCAAGGACTGTTTAGTTCTGAGCATAAAACAGACATAAAACTGTCTGAAAGGAAGCTGTAGCAAGGGGAGGATCAGCCTCTTCTCCCAGGCAACCAGTGACAGGATGGGAGGACACGGCCTCAAGCTGTGCCGGGGGGAGTCAGGTTGGACATCAGGAAGAATTTCTTCACTGAAAGGGTGGTTCAACATTGGCAGGGGCTGCCCAGGGAGGTGGCAGAGTCCCCACCCCTGGAGGTGTCCAAGGAACAACTGGACATGGTACTCAGTGCTCTGGGCTGGGGGACAAGGTGGGGATGGGTCACAGGTTGGACTCTGTGGTCTCAGAGGCCTTTTCCAACCTCAGTGACCCCTGGATTCTGTGATTCTGTGTTATACCAGTAGGAATGATTTCTCTGTGAACATGTGTCAGGATCAGAAGAGGTTTTAAGGCTTTCAAAGAGTGTGGTTTTACAGCAGTGACACAGCTGTGACACAGTGACACAGCTTTGCGCCAACATCCCTTGGGATCCCTGGACAATCCACAGTCTTCCTGAACCTGTCTGAGGTCAGCCAGACTCTTTCTGAGGATTGCATCGAGTCACAGTTCAAACCTTTTAACCCCAGTGGGAGGGACTTGAATATGGAGTGAAGATAATTTAACCACTAATATTGATTCACTCCGTGGGAAATTGCTTTAATGTCATGGAGACCACCGAAGTCCTTGTTCTGGCATTTTGCCATGGAAACCTTGGAGGATCAAAGGAAAAGGATGACACTGACCATCCTTAAACATGGCTCTTTCTTGCAGGGAATGATATTTTTGCGGTCATGAAACTGAATTGACACAGAGGAGCCCCAAAATCCAAGCTCAGAAATGTCCAGATATACGTGATCACACGCTCTATCAAATCCAGAGTGATTTTGGACCTCTTGACCATGGCAAAAGAATGACAGTGTGTTTGTAACTGCAGGATCATCACCTCCATACACAAGTCTCACCTCCAGCAGACCATCCACCCACCCAGCTCATGCAGTGGTGTTGCCTTCACTACGGAGGTTATGGGGATCATTCATGCTGGGTCTGGGACTGATTCTTCTGTTCCCAAAGAAGGTCTCCTCAGTACCCTGATCTACTTGAAGATGTCCCTGTTCATTCCTTTAAAGTGCCTTTCCAACCCAAACATTTTTATGATTTTAAGGGTGATTTGTTCTGGTTAAACATACAAAGTAAGAAGTCACTCTGCCTAACTCTGGGCAAACACCTCACCAGCTCATTATCTCCTTTTTAGCCTTTCCTCCTCTGTCTTTATCTTCTTCAGGACTCTGAGAAATAAATTAAAACAGCAGGTGGAACATCTTAGACACGATGCCTTCACGATGGTTTTATTGCTTGTTGTCAGCAGTGTCAACCACGGAGAAGAACCTCCTCTGAAGCAAGGAGATGAACCAAATACAAAGGAAAAAAAATATATAGCCAATTCATTGCATATTTACAGAGTCAGAACAAAATAAATAACATCAGGCAGAAGGCCATGAAACAAGGCAGAGATGTCACCTGTGCTGAGCAAGCAGGCCTGTTCTCACCGGCATGGAGGAAACATCACAAGCACCAAGGTACAGGAAAGTCCACAGAGAGGGTGAGTCTCTGTTCACAACCAGTTCCCATCACTCTCTGCTGTCAAAGCTTATTTACAGGAGGGCAGAGCAGAGGTGCTGACAGCTTGAGTGAGAAGAGTCAGTTGGCACCAGCCACCGACCAACAGCTTGAGGTGTTCGAGGCAGAGCCCGAAAAATGCACTTTTGAATTCAAAAGTGCCTTTGCCATCTGAGTATCAAGAACGTGTTTCATTTATTTATTTTTTTAAATGTGTTGTTCAGGCTCCCCCTATGTACAAATGCACAATGTCCACAAAACTGGGGTACAAAACACTAGTGCTCTGCTGATGCCAAATGTGCGCGTCCTGAAGGTCTGGCCCTCAGACCCCAAACAGTCATCATTTTCCCTACAGACCTGTTGCCTGATCTCCAGTCCTGATGTTTGTCTTCTTCCCTGTGACTTCACAGTTCCCTGGAAATAACCAGGGCTTCAAACCCAGGGCTTTTCAGTAAAACAGCACAACACCACATGAGCAAGCAAGGAGTCAGGACATTCAGCAGGAGGTGGAAGAGGTGGTCCGTGGTCCCAGGAAACTCCTAATTCCTAAAAGCCACAGTTTACAGATGTACAGCTCTCCAGGGGAAAGAAAAAGGTCAGTCAGTGTAATTACACTTCATCAGACTGGTGTGTAAATACAGAGTGTGGAGAAGGGATGAGAAGTTGACAGACTGAAATAAAATGGTGGATTTTGGCACATCTGACCCCAAGTACCATCCTGGGAATTAATTATTTTCCTTACTACTTTTCAGTTTAGTTCCTGGGTGATGCCAGTAGAGTCACTCTGGGTTGATATGGGTACATGTGAGGCCAAGAGCTTGACCTCTTAATCTTTTGAGGGTCGCCTACTACCAAGCACCTTCGTGATCCTGCCCACCAGTACCTCTGTCTGGGAAAAGTGCAAAGCTGCATTGGGAGCCAGGGAGCTCAGGAGTGCACCCCATGTCTCCAAGGGTCTGGAACATTCATCCCTGCAGAGATGCTGTGGGGGGAAGCACAAGGCTGGAATGGAAGCTGGGCTGTGTCAGCACCCCGACCACGGCCCTTCTTTCAGCTGAACACCCCCCCTGAAAGCAGAAGGTGGGGCTTGATGGGAAGGAGAATGTTTTACAAGGGCTTTGACGTTACACCTTCCAGAGAAGGGGCATTGCTCCTGATCCACCTGTTTTCCCAGAGAAGGACCATTATTCCTGATCCACCTGTGTTTCCACAGGCCCTTTATCCAACCAAGCTGCACTTGTGCAGACGGAATGAAATGAGCTCCAGGAAGACACTTATTGGCATTTCCCAGTTGGTGAGATTCCCTTTTAGTCTGAAAATATTTCATATTTCCTGCAGATACCCACTGGGTTTTCCCTTGTTTGAACACTGGGGTGAAGGTGGAAGGACTGGAGACAAAATAATCCCACTAAACCCCTTTAATCCCTGCCATGGAGCAAAGTGATGTTCACTCACTCCTGAGCTTTCTTTGGAACTTTTTTTTTTAAAAAAAAACACTAGAAAACTTCCATTAATCAGTAGGTGTATCTCTCTCTGGAAATATTTTCATCAGATTGGGACAGAGATTTGGGTTTAATCCCTCTGCTCATGTAGTGCTGTGGCACAGACATGACCCTGTCTCATTCCTTGTGAATGGGAAACAAGTGGGATATTGAGAAAGATGTAAAGCTGATGGTTAGTTAATGTACAAAACATCTTTTCTCCAGCAACACCTTCCTTGAGAAAAATATAACTGCTTCCTAGGCAAAAAAACCCCAACCAAACTAAACTAAACTAAAATATTCAAGTGTTTCATCTCCTGGCCTTTTTGATTTTAAAAAGTTTCAAGTTAATGCCCTGAAATTTTGCAGCAGCCTCAAATGTCTTCACTCCTCTTTTTTTTAACCCCAAACACGGTCATATTCTCATTTCTTGCTGCTTATGAGGTCACAGAGCAACATAGGTCCCAGTTGAACAGAAATATCTTTAGGTCCCAGCTGAACAGAAATATCTACAGTCTAATCTTGGTATTGTACCTACCTCTACTCCTTGAAACCATAATTTAATGTTTGTATTGTAATTATTCCACACTTATTCATAATTTTTAATCATTTAATCACTGAAATGCAGAGTGACTAATTAACAGGAAGGGGTTTGCTCTCTCACTGGTGTAAAAAAGGAAGATAAAGGAATTATTTTAAAGGCAAATCCAAGTGTAATTCAGGAGTTGCTGCAGTGAACTGATTGGTGAAAGTGGGATCAGAATTTGGCTTAATTTCTGTGAAGAGTTTCAGAGTCCAAATTCATGATCCTCAAACATCTCTGTCCCGTATCCAGATGTGACTATTAATATTATTTTGCAGCAAATTAATGCAGCTGCTTTACTGGAGTCCCTCCTGTGTTACACTGGAGTTGAGGGGGTCACATTGGGACTTGCCTGTGTGCTCTGTGTGGGACCAGGACAGCACACCTCAGGCTGTCATTTGTTGTGAAGTCCTTGAGCTCCCATTTTATTGATGAGTTGGATGAAAAACAGAGTAAGGGAGGCCAAGGTATGGAGCCAAATTCCTGCACCAAGCCAGCTAAAAGAGGGCCTGATCCCAATGTCATCATTCACTCGATTGCTCACGTCCCCAGAGTGAAAAGCTGTGATTTTAGCACTGACTCCTGTGTTTGTCTGAAATCTGAGGCCCAGGCAGCTGTGCTGGCAGCTCTGCCCTGCCTGTGTCACTAATATTGCCATGCCTGTCACAGCAGGTATATTCAGCACGTTCATTTAATCTCTCAAACCCCCTTGGCAGCACAATGGCAATGTGGCTGGATGTTCAGCGCTGAAATAATTGCCAGTAGGATGCCCGGGGCACTGTTCTGGCACTCTGATGTTCTCCACCTGTTTTGAAGGAGCCCCTCAGTTTAGGCTCCTGTGCAGAAAAGCCCGGTGGTGAATCTCCCACATTCCCTGTGGAATGGGTAAATAACCAGCTGGATTTTTGCCTGTCATGTCTCCAAAAGGCAAACCTGCTCCCACTGCCTTTGGCACACAGTTGATGGTGGCACAGGTCAGCACAGGGCTGAAACAGAAACAAAGCTAAGAACACAAAGCAGAAAGTCCTCCTGCAAGTGGAGTGCCAGGAAAGGGAGAGGAAAAAGGAAGGTGAACAGAGGGAAAATGCACAATGTGTCTCTCTGCTGATGGCTCACAGACCTGCTATCCCAGCAAGGCTGCCTAGAACAGATGGGCAGGGATTCCCTCACATCCCACAAAGGAGCCTGCTGGCAATGGTGCATCACTTCTGCTTGACAGCTCTGTGCTCAGGCTCCTCTCTTGCTTGTCTGGGACCTGGGATTCCAGTTCACACCTCGGGCACCTCAGTGGATGCATTCACAAGATTGGGCAGTGCTCCTCTGCAGCCCATGGAATATCCTGGGCATATACAGTTCCCCTGACAGATTAAGAGGATGAATGATTCTGTAGCCCGGTGAATCAAATGTTTTCCTGGCTGACACTCCTTCAAAACTCTGAACCACTGAGACAAAGCATTTTATACCAAGTGGAATGACTTGGAAGCTGAGAGAGAGTTTTCCCTTGCTTCTTCTGGGTTCCCTTGCAGCTGGACAAAATGCAGAGCTGGGTCAAATCCTTGCTTTGAAGCAGGCACAGGAGAAGAACTGGTAGTGCTGGTGGGATTTCTCCAGTGTTTCCTTTGTGAGTCCTACTCCAGGTTTGAAAGTGCTCACCAGATGAGCACCAAACACATGGAGAATCACAGAATATCCTGAGTTGGAAGGCACCCACAAAGATCATTGAGTCCAGCTCCTGCCTCCACACAGGACAACCCCAAAAATCCCACCATGTGCCTGAGAGCATTGTCCAAACACTCCTCAAGCTCTGGCAGCCTTGGTGCTGTGACCACTAAAATAAAAGAGTCCTGGCCTCTGAGAACCTCATGACGATTTAAATGGGATATTGTTTCGAAAGTGTCAGGGCACAAGGGCTTCAGTGCAAGAAATGTGGGGAAATTTTAAGCATCCTCTTGCTTTCTCTGCATTTTGGGAATCAGAGAGCATCCTGATGGTCTTAATGGCACGTCAGTGGTGGATTCTCACTGCTGGCATGGCCTCAGAGTAACGTGGCTCTTCACACCTGGCTGGCCTGGGGTCACCAGCACTTGAACTCCAGGGATGTTCACAACACCTACTTATCCTCTGAGGTCTTGCAGGTTGAGTAGCCATGGCTACACTGTGCTGAGGTCACTGGAAACTCAGGACTGCACATCTGCCCTTCACAGGGTTCTTTATTCCCCTCACTGTCTTCAGGCCTCCACGCTGTTCACAGGGCTACACGTGGAGAGATACTCAGGAAGCATGGAGTTGATAAAAGGTATAGCTCTGGGAATGGTTTTGGCATGGAACACTGCCCTCTCAGAACTGAGAGAGGAACTGGATGTCCTGGTTTGTGAGTCTCCCCCTGGGCTCAGCGTGGGTGGCTGGCAGTGAATCACAGAGGCTTCAGGTAGGCAAAGAAACCAGCAGAGTAACCCCAAACCCAGCAAGTTAAAGATACTTCCCTCCAATGAACTACATTAAATCACGGAGCAGTAAAAGTCCAGGTGCTGTTAGTTAGCAGCTGGTAGGCAAGTTGAGATCTCTGAACTCTGAAGGAGGAGCCCACCTTCCTTTCCAGGTTTGTGGGTTGGTGGCCCAGACTCTCCTTCTCGAGGACAATGTCAGAGTAGGATGAGAGCAGCCCAACTACTGAGTGTACACATGAGCTGAGCAGGAATTTCCCACCCTCAGTGTAAAACTGGTGCAACCCCGTCTGTGTGGGACACAAACATCTGTATCCCTTTATTTTCTGTCTTCTGACTGAGTTTGGGAGTGTGGGGATTGTCTCAAATGCAGTGCTTGAGCAGGATTGGGTTTCACACCTCTCCTTTGCCCCTCCACCAAGAAAAGAAGAAAAAGAAAAAAGAGACTATTCCCTTGGTTTTAATGGGATCCATTGTGCATTCCTCAAACAGGGATTGCCTCTAGATGAAAACTAATAGGCCTTCAAAAAAGAGGCAAAATGCACACACACATCTCAAAGATCTAACAATGCCTTCATCAGAGGATGAAAGCTTCCCACAAAAGCTGAAGAAGAAATCAATTTAATAGCCCCTTCAGTCCTTCCTCACTCCTGCAGTGCCAGTTCTGTGCTGAGAGTACCTTGTCCTGATGAAAGCAATTTTCCTCACTGCTATGACACTAATTTTTTTCATCTGGAGAGTGGCTCCTCACGGCAGTTCTGCTTCAATTAGTGATTACAGGGTTCTACATCTCCCTTTCCTGGCAGTGTGTGCTAAGCAAGTGCAAATGAATTACACCCCAATTATTTTCCCCTGATCCCTCATGATCCTGGGTGCATTAAGGCACCAAGATCTACGGGAGAACTTGAAGGAAAAACACAGCCATGCTCTGCTTTTGGCCTCTGTACCTGGTTTTTATGTATGCAAACTGAGTTTCCTGGTCATTGAACACAACCAAAACAAACACCACGTCCTGAACACCGTGCAGAGAAGGGAATTCTCATGCTGTTCCTTCTCAGTGACCTGCTTTTCCAGAGAGCACCAGGATGCCTGGAAAGCTTTTGTTAATGAGGATAGTGGGTTATTAGCAGCACACACTGCAGCCCTGGGGCATCCTCTGAGGGGCTTTTCTAGTGCTGCAGCTTCATCTTCACCTGTGTAAAACGCAGGGGTCATGCACTGGCCTCTCCCTTCCTGCTCATGTTCCTCCTGTCCCTTCTCCCCGTGTCCCCGACTCTGTCTTTGATGCCTTATCATCACCTCTTATCCACAGGAATTTTGGCACATTCATATGTTTGGCATTTTTTTCTTCCCGCTTCTTGCATCTCTCTCTCCTTTACTGGCTCATTTCTTTTTTAAAAAAGTGCAATTTATCTGTTTCAGAGATGCCAGTTCTGGTAAAGCCCCCAAGGACTTGGGCTCTCCCCTCCCTTCCCTGTACTTCATCATTTATGACACAGCATCTCCCAGGCTTTCCTCAAGCAACTGGGACCTTTACTCATAGTTATCAACCCCCAAGGGCTTGAAACTGAGGAGTGAAAGGTCTGAAAAGAGGGAGAGGAAAAGTATTTCTCTGCCTCTCGGCTTGTCCGGTCCTGTCCTGGATGCCAGTGGCTTTTCCAGTTGTGTGTCCTCTGTTGGCTCATGTGGAGCACGTCATTTCACAGGGATTTGTCATCGCTGGTTCCTGGGGATCTCTCAGTCTCTCAGTGTCTCTTTTGGATGCTCCCTGCTGGGAGAGCCCCTCCCCATCACACCAGGGAGAATTCGGCCTGGAAGCCGGAGCACCGGCGAGTCTTTGGTGAGCACTTGGTCAGCATGGAGATCTGGGTGCTGAAGTTGGTGCCGTTGCTGCCCAAGGAAGGGTGGTGGTACTTCATGTCCGAGCCCAGGAACCTCTCCAGGTGCCACCTCCGCCACTTCCTTTTGAGCTCAGCTTGGACCTGGGCATTGGAGAGACAAGAAAATCACTTGCTGTCGCTCTGATTTCATTGTGTGAGCAGCCGTGGGCAACCCACCCACCAAGGGGCCAAGAATTATTTTATAAAGGCCACTAAACTCAGCCTGGTCTGGACTTTTAGCCACATAGAAGAGAGGGGACACCCCAGACAGGAGAAATCCCTGAGCTCCAGCAGAAAGGTGAGCACAGGGAATTTCTTATACAGCGAAGGTGCCAGAATAGTTAACTTCAGCTTCAACATACTCTACATTTTGTGAGTAATTAATTAATCTTAATAATTAAGATTTTTTTTCCACTGCCCTGTTTTTGGTCCAAATAGAAATGATTTAACTACAGCTTGTTTGTAAAGCTGTGCTTTTTTTTGACAGAAGCTACTTGTTCCTGCTCGGGGAGTTCACAAAAATGATCTGGTTTACACTGCCCAGATTAAAATCCTGAACAAGTCTGGCCACTGTCCCTGTCCCCTCCTGCAGCCTTCCAGCCCAAATTTTTAGATAATAGTATGAATTAGATAAAACAGCTGTGTCTGAGGGGCTCTGGGATGAGCAAGCACAGCAACAGCACAATACCAGGATGAGAATCCCAGGAGTCAAAATATGGGAAAGGCAAGATCAGCGCCTGCAAGGTAGAAATATGTTTACCTGGCACTGCTGTGCCTAACAAGTCACGTCAATGCCTGTATTGGTTTTGGATCATCAGGAAGCTTGTGTGGTACTGCCCTGTTCCAGGCAGGATTACTGGGAAAGGTCTCTGCTGGAGCTGGGCTCTTTGCCTGATGTACACATGGCATCAGTGTGGCTGATGCAGCTTTGGAGCTGTGAGAGAGAAAATTGGGATTCTAGACACTCTTCCTCTCCCCTAGGAAGCTGGAGCACAAATCCAGCTCACAGCTGCTTCTTTCTTGCCTGTGCTCTGTTTATTGGGCTGGAAGTGCTCCAGATGACAGCAGCTCCGAGTCTGTAGCTGCTCACACCTACCTGGGAGCCTTTGCAACATGAGCTTAATCAGCTGAACTTCCTATGGGCAGGTGGGGGATGATACAAAAATATCACTGCACTAATGAGCCTCCATCCCAGCAGCGGGCCTGGTCCTGGGGAGGATTCACTAAGGCACTTGGCAGGGTTTAAGATGGGATTTATCCTTCCCTGTTGAAGGTGGGCCTTTGGGATCAGGGTTTGTGCAAGGTTCTGCTGATGCTGTCTCATGAGTAAAGGGTGGACTCAGCAGCAGTGATGCACACAGTGCACACAAAAGCCCTGACATGTTTATTAATTGTGCTGAAAACTGTCAGGAAAGTGGCTGAACTGTTTTTCTGGAGTGAGAGATTTGACTTGGATGCTTCCCACCGGTATGGTAACATTAGGAATGGGACAGTCAATCCACTTAGCTGGCAAACATGAACCAAACAACACTGCTGGTCTTACCTCTCCGTTGAGAAAGCAGTACAGAACAGCCACCACAAATCCCTGGGGGAAAGGAGAGAACAGGCTTTTAGCACTAAACACAATGATCTCAAAGGAGGGATCACGAAATCAGGGAATTGTTAAGGCTGGAAAAGACCTCTAAGATCATCAAGTCCAACAGTGCCATCTTCACCACTAACCCATATCCCCAAGTGCACATCTGGATGTTTTTTGAGCACTTCCAGATGCCAAATGTGAAGTGATGATGATGTAGACAGGGATGTTAACTCAGTCACCGCTGAATAAAACTTGCCACTGTAATGTGCATGGGACATGGGGACAGCCAGACCCCGCTCCCAGGCTGTGAGAACGTGGCTGGGACTGACAATGGTCAGAAGCAACGGGATGAAACACTTAAATAAGGGCTTCTTTTCATGCAGCCTCAGGGGCGAGTTTAATGGCCCAACACTGACTGAAGTGGGAGGCTCTAAGAACCAAACTCCATCAGGACTAACGTGGAGGGAAGCCTCATCATCCATCCTCGTGGGGAAGCTGCCTCCTGCACCAATGAACTGGAATCCTGCTTGAGCAGGAGCTACAGGCAGAACTTGACTTGTGAATACAGGAGAGAGTTCATTCAAATCAAGTGGCTGAAGACAGACCAGGCTCCTGTTAATGGACACTCCCACCAAAGGTCATTTGTCTCATCTTGCACTATGGAATCATAGAATGGTTTGGGTTGGAAGGGATCTTGAAAGTCATCTAGTTCCAAACCCCATGAGATGGACAAGGACAACCTTCCACTAGACCAGGGTGCTCCAAGTCCCCTCCAACCTGGCCTGGAACATGTCAATAATATATAAACTGACCTGTGATGCTCACTTTTTTTTTCCCTTAAGCACATAAACCCCCAGGGTGACTAATGTGCAGATGTACATTTTCTTTTCAGGTGCCTAAACCGAGGAGGGAGAATCTCCTTCTGGAATTGCAGGAGGCAAAATATAAATTTGTCTCCCATCCTGGCCATGCTGGAGCGAGGAGCTTTTTCTCCAAAGGTCATTACACTTCTCCCTCCTGACAGACCTGGTGGCTGAGTGGTGGCCCAAAGGGTGGCTTACCTGGAACGACCCGACCACGAGCTCAAAGACCAGCTTAACTTCTGCCTTGAAATTGTCAGGGAAGAAAGCAAACATGATGTAGTGAATGCCAAAGAGAGGGATCAGCAGCAAGGTGGACTTGGCCAGCCTCCTGTTGGAAAGACAAACATGAGTCAGAAGGGGAGAAGGAAGAGGAGCTGAAGGGTAAGAGGATGAGAAATCCCACAGCCCTGAGCCTTGTGCAACCCTGAACATTGAATTTGTGGCATTGAATTTGTTTGATGTGTGATATTGGACACTCATCCTGGGGTCCTGGGAATGTTCAGCCTTGAGCAAGGGAGCATGAGGAGGTTGCCCTCAGCCAGGGGGATGGAATGTCTGGGGTACAGGAAAACAGGGGGTGTGGAGATGCCACTCCTGGCTCAACCTCCCCAGGATCCCTCTGCCCACCTGGGCTGGGATGCAGTGACATGTGGGGGTGGACCCTCAGCTGGGCACAGGCACTGTGTGGCACCTCAGACTAACCAAGGGCCATGCTGGGAGCATTTCCTGCTCACTGACAGCTCTCATGTAATTATATCCATGTCTCCAGCCAAGGCAGAGCAATCAGCCCTACATTATTTCTCCTTGTTCCTCAGACTGCAGGCAGCTGCTGATTTCAGACGTGGTGACACCATAAAATGCGACATCTTTATTCCTAGTGGCTCCACTGGAGGTATTTCTTTCTCCCTTCTCTCTTCTTCCCCTCCCACCAGAGATCTTTTTTTCATCTCTACCAGCTAAATCATCATCTAGCACTGTCTTTGTTTGCTTGGGAGATTGCTGAAAATTACAGCTTCTGGGAGAGAAATGGTATGTTTAGCTGGGAATAATGACAGGATATTGCACAAAGAATGTCTCCAAAAGAGGGGGATGAACAGTATTAGTGCTTAATGGCATCAGCCTGGGTAATCAGAGGCCTAATTAGGAAGAAATGATAATTTATTAAATATAATCATTATTAAAAAATAGTTGACAGAAATGAAATGAAATCAAGAGTCTAAGGATGCTTGTGGGGGTTTTGGCTCCCCTGGTCAACCACATCCTGTGGCATCTCCATCTCTCAGAGGCTTCTGGAGGAAATGAAGCTGAGGAGAGGATGTTGGAAATACTTGTTCTTCCACCTGCAAACCCTCCACCTCCAAAGCCTCATCAGGCTCAGTCCTCTCAGACCATCTTCATTTATTTGCCATCTGCACCAGCCCACTGGGAGGGCTGATGTGCCAGCTTTGTGCAGATGATGCTCATCCCTGTATCTCCCAGCAGACCTTTCCAGCTTTGCCTGGGCCTGGTCCAAAGACAGCTCGACATTAGGGCTGGTTTTGGAGGCCATGGCTCCCCAGGAAATATCTGCTGGCTGAAGGACACCTGGGTGCAGCTCATTCTGGGCAAAATCAGTGCCTGTAGGAAGCTGAGGGGCTTGACAGGAATTTGCCTTTCCCACATCCCTCACCAGCAGGCATATCCTTGCTCATGGTGAGTATATCCAAAATCTGAGTTCTCTTGAATGTCTTGCTCTGCCAGAGCACTGTCACTGTCTTTGGTGACCATCAGCATTCCATGTTCCTCACTCTCAGAAGCAGCTCTGGCCAGTATGACCCACACCAGTATGATCAAGCCCTAATGCTCCCAGCTCCAGATATATGAGAAAGCAACTCATTTTCTAAGCAGATCACAATTCAGTGAATATTTCTGTTGCATTTGCAGAGATCTCTCCTCTCTCCCCAACCTCTGAGGAACAGTCAGCCTGGAGGAGATGATGAGACCCTACCTTGGTGTACCATATTCACAGAGATGCTGTTTTCAACCTCCAGAGGATTAGAAAAGTTGATCTTATCTTTGCAGACAACACTGGGGCCTCAGTTACAATATTTTCCCTCCTGGATAAACTGTGGCAATGAAAAGGACATAAATGCCAACACTTGAGCCCTCTCCTCTAATTTGCACAATCCCCCCAAACCAGCCACTTCCTTCCCCAGACACTGAGTAATGTTTCAGATCTCAGTTTGGCATCAGGGCAAGGGCTCTGTGGTCCAGCACTGTGATATTTAAAAGATTCCCCCCACTAAACACTGCAAAGAGGAAAATCATCTTCCCCAGTCAGGGCGTAATTTCTCCCAGGAAGAAAAAGCCTGGATGTGCAGGAGGTAGAACTTCTTGGGAGGCTGCGTAAAGCTGTTTAAATCTTCCTGCTGGAAGCCATGGATTCTCAAAAAAGTTGTTACTCTCATTCCCAGAACATCTTAGACCCACCCTCTCTGACAGATGTACATGGTGACAGGTAATTTATGGAAAACATGTGTCCATCAGCCTGCATGGAACCTACTCCTCTCCTTGGGAGTGGGCATCGGGACATTTTCGTCATGGTCCTTGAAATTATCATGGAAAAGTTACTCAGAAAACTTTGATGACAATATTGATCTACGAGCATGTAGAAAGAGATGAATTTTACTCAAGTTTCCTGTTGAGGAAAACAAAATCTCTGCCTGAAATTTTGCTGTCCCACTGTTGCACATGTCCCTGTCATTTCCAGAAAACTGTTTTGGGAGCTTTGTTTTCACAGTTTCCAATACATGAAAGCCCAGTTCCCTGTCTGGAGCATTAATGAGTGAGTCAGCAGTGCACCTGAACTTCCAGCCTGCAGCTACACTGAAACCACTCGGAGTTTCAACAGTGCTTGTCAACATGTCAGCGTGTTTTTAGAAAATAAAGAGTATAAAATAAACAAGAGAAGGAGGGAGAATGCAAATCAGATATCCAGGATGTTGTTAGTTTAAAATAGATTTGTATCTGACTTGGCAGGAGGAACCCAAACAGAATCACAGAATCACTGAGGTTGGAAAAGCCCTCCAGGGTCATTGAGTCCACCCTGTGCTTGATGCCCACCTTGTCCCCCAGTCCAGAGCACTGAGTGCCATGTCCAATCCTTCCTTGGACACCTCCAGAAGTGGGGACTCTACCACCTCCCTGGGCAGCCCCTGCCAATGCCTGACAACCCTTTCCGTGAAGAAATTCCTCCTGATGTCCAACCTGATCCTCCCCTGGCACAGCTGGAGGCCGTTCCCTCTCCTCTTGTCCCGTGTTCCCTGGGAGCAGAGCCCGACACCCCCTGGCTCCCCCCTCCTGTCAGGGAGTTGCAGAGCCAGGAAGTCCCCCCTGAGCCTCCTTTTCTCCAGGCTGAGCTCCCTCAGCTCCCTCAATGTTTCATTAGCAGCAGTTTTTGCTAAGATCTCTTGAGTCCTGCATGTAGAACCCCAGAAGTCTCTACAGGTTGCTGTCTAAACATTGAAAACTTAGAACCACACTGAAAACTACCCTTGCTGGGTTCCAGCCTTCAGGTTGAGACACTTAATACTTCCTTCCATAGGAAAGTGTGGTGCCTCATGTCCTACAGCTCTCAGTACATTCAACAGAGACTTCCAGATGTCCCAGAGGATGTGGCTGGTGGCCAGATGCCTCTGTGTGAGGGTAAAATTCTCCCACAGGTCCTGGGTTCTACGTTCAAGAAAGTATCTGAAGTGTCTTAAAGCACCTCGTATGTCTTGGACGCATAAAAGTTTAAGGTCAGGTTGGATGGAGCTCTGAGCAACCTGGTCTAGTGGAAGGTGTCCCTGCCCATGTCAGGGGGTTGGAATTGGGTGATTTTATGGTCCCTTCCAACCCGAAACCATTCTGTGAATCTGTGATCCTATGAAGCGAGCAACTGATTCATTCCCTGAATGCAACTGATGGCACTGAGATGTCTTTCCAGGTGGAGAAGGAAGGTGAGGACCTGCAGACGTGAAGCTCAGTTGTACCTCAGCAGCACCTCCCATTGGGTGGGTCAGCAAGGGGAAGTCTGTGCTTTACTGCTGTGCCACGTTTGTTTACAAGGCAAAAGGAGCTTTCCTGGCAGCTCCCAGGAAAATTTCATTTCCCACTTCACTGGAAAATGTGCCCTGAACCCAAAAGCTCAGCATGACCTCCGAGGTAATCTGGGCATAACCCTTCCAGTGCGTGTTGGCAACACTTCTGGTGAGGGGAACAGGAGCCAACAGCTCCAGGATGCTGCTCAGAACATATTTCAATATGCTGATTTAATCTCCACACCTGGCCAGAGCTGTTGCAATCCTGGGGTACAAAGGTACAACACCCAGTTGGAAATACAGTAAAATAGGGGATAAAAAGCACAGGATTGGTAACACTGGTGTGCTGAGATGACAAAAACAGAGGTAATTGGTTTTGGCTGCTGCAGGCAGAAGTTAAGGTCAAACTCTGGCCTTTTCTTTCATAAATCAGAGAATCTCTCGAGGCAGATGAAATGAATAATTTACCATCACTAGAGACAGGCTCAGTGTCATGGCTGGGCAGTGTTTAAGGAACAGACTGTTATTGTTTTCCATCTTGCAGAAAGTTGAACTGAGCTCAGATTCTTCAGGGTACCCAAAAGTGCAGCTCCAGACAAAGACAAAGGTTTAGGAGCAGTGACCATGTAGATACAGGACCTTTTTCATTTTAGTTCTCTTCGAGGAAACATTTAATAAATATCCAGGATGGTTGAAAAGCTGAACCAGGACAGTGGCAAGAGTCAAAAATAAGCTGGTCTGAACTTTTATTTTATTTGCATTGAGGCCAGAACAAATCCATGTAAATGGACATTTTTTTCACTCTTATAATTCTACAACTAAGACCAGTCTTGGCCACTGAGACAGATGTTGATCTCACTGGTGTGTTGTTCATGATAAAAATCCCCATTAAGGTCAACTTTATATCCCTGGAATAAAAGCATTAAGTCAAGCAAATCTTCTGAGGCAGTGATCCTTCTCAACACTGAAGAGAAATGCACTGAAATAATCCAATCTAGTTTAGAGGTCTGCTTTGGGATAAGGAAAATCTGCCACAGATTCTACTGAATGGATTAATTTTCTACATCTCTCCTTCTTTGAAAAAGGGACCTGAGAGTCAGGAAAAAAAAAAAGCCTGTACACTGTGTACAGCAACTCTTGGCTGTCCCTCAGGGTTCCTCTGCCTTCAGAATCCACTAAATATTAAAGATGCAAAAAAAGAACTTTTTTTGCCTCATGATCATTATTCTTGCTCTCACTTCTTCATCATTAATCCCAGGAGAAGGTCTTTTCACCTGCCTCAAACTGACATCAAACCTGTCCGGCTGTTTTAGGAAACGCTCCATTTCCTGATTTCTGATCAGCTTTGATCAAGTAACAATTAACTGATTCTGATCAGTGCAGACAGAGACAATACTGAACACAGTGAATAGTGATGCAATAATGAACTAACAGTTAAACAGGTTTCCCAAAAAGCAAAGAATATGACAGAAGAAGTCCAGGACTTACGAATATTGGCTGGTTTCATTGTGTCCAACGTCCGGGGAATGCAGCTTCTGGACCAAGATGCGGATGATGCAGATGAAGAGGATGAAGTTCACCTGCCAGGATGGGAAGAAAGGGAACAGAGAGAGAGAGAAGTAAAACATTAGTTATTTTTCCCTGTTGAACAGAGCCCATCATTAGAGGGGAATTCCTTCCACTGCCATGTTTTTGCCATGGAACAAGCTGTGGTTAAGCAGCCATGAGCAGAGAGCCCAAAGTAAACGGACACAGGATGGCATCTTGGGCCTGACATCAGCCTGCTTGGGACTTCGTGTCATACATCCCAAGTATGATGATGTCAAGCCCATAGAGCACAGCTATGCACGACGTCCTGCCGGCGCCGGGGTGGGAAAAGAGCCTTGGGAATGAGCCGAGCGACGGATGTCAAAGCCCTCGGGAGACGCTGACATGGGACCGGCTGCTGAGCACGTCAGAGACTGAGCCAAGGAGACCAAAACAAAACACAGAGCAGTACCCACCCCACTCTACTCAGTGTTACTGGCCATGGCCTCCCTGGGAGAGGCTGGAGAACTTGCACGACAAGGGATAGACCTCGTGGACACAGCAGGAAACGTTCCCTCTTAGGATGTTACACTGGGAGCTGCCCCCTGGATTTAAGATGGTTCTTTTCACTCAAAAGATCTCATAGTGCTCCACCAACACGCTCAAGCAATGTTAACCTCCCTTATTAGCAAAGGTGTAGAGCTAGGAATGGTATTTTCCCAATGGAATGTAGTAGATGGCATGGATTGAATGCAACTCTTATTTGCTTGTAAGGTCTTATCCATCGAATCATCCTGTTATTCATGCAACACAGAAAACAGAAAAGCAGTGACAGATTCCTGGGGACTTAGTTAGTTTTAGTTTGGCCACAACCTCTCTCTTTATCCTTTCATGGTTACTGAATGCACAAATGGCTCTGATTTTCAGAGGCTCAGCAGCTGGAAGGGATTGTGTTAACCAGCCAATCTGACTTCCTGCAAAAACAGATTGTAACATTTCCTCCAGCAATTCCTACATTTATCTCAACAATAAGGTGAATAAAATAGACTGAAGCACATCTCTCAATTAGACACTCACTCTTCTTTCAAAGGCTATGAGTAATTGGAAATTAATGGTATTTCTTGGATGCATTGCTTAATCACTTTTTATCTATCCTGAGCCATTTATCTTGGTTTCTGCTTGTATTTATTTGCTCGTGGAAATGGTTTGTGTCTGACTTGGTGGCAAGTAAAATTTATTAGTTCAAAACATTGTTATCTAGATCGATTACGCTAATGAGCATTGATAGCACAAAAGATGCAGAACTGAAGGTAAGAATGGAGCATTAAATACTGGCAGTGCTGGCTTGGAGTGGACTGGGAAATATAACCTTAGCATTCCATGGTAAAACATACAGACATCAGGATACTGGAGAAGTTGTTTAATTTATTTTTTCAACCTAATCAGAGGCACTTGATGTTGTACATGAGATATATCTTATGTATCTTAAAGATCTTGTATATCTGGTATATGCATTTCTTCCTTACATTGAGATATACACTTTTTTTCCTGTGGATATGGAGCAAATGTTGCATTACTCCCTGAAGAAACCTGCTGTTCATCAGCTCGTGGTTATCATGCCCTTCCTCTGCGACAGATTCATGGGATATCTGCCGAAGTAAAATCAAGAACTGCTGGGTAAACTTTGTTTGGCAACGAGGAAATGATTTACTGGCCAAAAGCAAATACAGACTCATTGATCCAAAGAGAATAACAGGGTGTATTTTTTTAATGAAAGCTTATCTCAGGAAAGGGAAAGTACTATCTACAGCTTTCTATGATGACATAAATATTTTGAGATGTGTCATCTAAGTACTGTATTTCTTTTCAGTGAGGTAAACAGAGTAAAATGTCATTATTCAAATTGTTGCGGTTTTGAATCCCTGCATGACAAATGTTACAGAAAAAAAATCTTGTAAAGGTCATGATGTACGTGGAATAAGAAGAATGTATGTTCTAAGGAAAGATTTCTGTCTAAAAGAGATATATTTGGTCTTATTTCTGTTGCCCTTTTTTTTTTTTTGTATTCCCTTCACACATCCTTGCCTTCATTTAAGAAAACTCAGAGCTAAGTTTAACTCAAGTTCATTTGATTTTAAGGCTTGGCTCGACACCTGACAGAGGAAACACGTAATGTTCAACAGGGATGGGAGGACTGAGTTCCTCAGAAGTGTCCTGGTTTCTGTGGTCAGAACTGATCATATCCAGAGAATTAAAGTCAGACACTTCTGTTGAATTTTCTGCAAATCAGACAAGCTTCTTGAGAACCGACTTTCAAAGCACACAGCTGGGATCCAGCTCTGCACTGGGTGATACAAAAAGAGGCAAATACCCCGGGGGGATTCATCAAACCCCTTTCTTATCTAGAAATTTATGATGGGACTCATCTCATTTCACTTCATGGTGTTGACATGTACAACTGGACAAGTCATCCTGGTCAGCTCAGAGAAACAAAGCCACTCGTAGCACAGTTCATCAGGTTGAATTCAGACATCCACTGATCTATTAGGCAAAAAGAGTCTTTCTTGGATCTCCAACCACATTCCTCCGCCTCCTCTGGCTACACACTCAGAGTCCCCAGGGCAAGTAGGAGGTGGAATGGTCAAAGGTACATCAAAAGAGCTCCACCTGAGTGGCCCAGTCACTCAAACTCTTCCATGGTCAATGCTAAAGGTAAACGTGTTTATCTGGAGAGTTTTTCCTCATCCTAAGGCAGATGTTCAACATACAGTGGGATTTTACCTGCCAGTGCCTCTTCCATGGACACTTACAGGACACTTCTCAACACCCCTTCACCCCCACCCCCATCACTTAGGACTAAAGATGGCTTTGCAGCCAGCAGAATGTGCTGATACTTTACCAAGATAGACACCAAAATAGGGGTTTTAATGATCCACCAGAATGGGGATTCCACTATTTCCTCCCAGCACCTAAAAAGAAACAAAACAAGACTTAAAACTTCAAGCACAGCAAGCAAGCAGATGTGTAACCTCTCAGGTTTTCCTAAAAGCTAAGGATATCTAGGCTGGATTATTAGGACTAAACCTTGTGTGCATGAACTGGGAATGGCCAAAGACTTGCTTTGCAGAGGCTCTGAGCACTGGCAGGCACCAGTTGCCCCAGATACAATCCTGAGAGCTCTCTTCCCCTTGGAAATGGAATAGGCTGGAAGATGTTCTGCAGGGTGAATGTGGGAGAGGATGGTGACCTCCTGAATTTCTCCTACACTGAGCTCTGCTCCACGGAAATTCTGCCAAACCCACAGATCCATCAGGCCTCCAGTTCTCTCCACCCTCCTGGATGATGGTGGAGCATCTCCAGAGAGTAACTGGAACCATCAGAAGCAAAACCAACCACGTCCTTCCGAAAAAGATAACAGCCAGTGGTGGGATTACTCCCACTAAATCCATCTGCATCTGAGCTATGGATCTACTTAGAAAAGTCCATTGGGTCCAGGATGGGATTTATTTCATCCCGAAGCCAGAACTGTCTGCACACAACTCCACTCACCTGGAACTGTATTTTAAAGCCAACAAGGAAAGGACAGAGAGGAATGATGTGGAAATGACTAATATTGCTTGGGACACATTTATCTGCAGACCTCGGTCAGGTGATGGAAGGTGCATTTTTAGGAAAGCATTCATGAAAACTGGGCTGCATTCATGTTAAAAACAGATCAGTGGAGCCTGCTGGAGACAATTCCACCTGGATTCAGCTCGTCTAATTCAGAATGTTGACAGTGCAGGCAATAGCAGATAAGCAGAGGCATTTTTAGGGCACAGTTCTGAGACCTATTTTGGGCAGCAAGTTTAGAATGAAAAAAATTGCACTCCATGGACTACACTGACTAAATCTCCACTAATTCTAAAAGGAGATGGAGCAAATTGCTCACACACAGATGCTGCCAGTCAGGTGCCTTCTGCCCTCTCATTTAGAATTAAAGTGGCCCTAATTATGTCTAGTGCACTTCATTTTTGAAACAAATTCAGATAGTCTGAATGAAGGTCATTTTAATTTGGAGTTAGAATGTTTAAATAGAGGCTTAAGGTTGTTTAACTGATCTTACATAATTAGTTTATTTCATCTGGATTAATTTCCTGTAATTTTTCTCTGTAGGTAACTTTAGTATGGAAAGAATAATCTATGTTAGGTATTAGCATATCCTGTAAATTCACACTGCTTTACTTGGCATAAAAACGTAGAGCTTTAAAGCCTCCAGAAAATGCAAAGAAGTCTGTATTTTTATTAAGAATTGCTGGAGCTGAGTGAGAATATATAGTAAGAAGAATGGGTACCCAGAATGGTTAAATCCTCCTGTCTCTATCTCATTGTAGAGGCTATTTATTAACAGAGGAAATAAGGTCAGTTTTATGCAGAGAGAGTGAAAGCACAAAGGAAGTGAGTGGCCCTCAGGAAATGTGTGAGCATGACTATAAATCAAAAATGCAATGAGAAATCCTTCTCCAAACGAAATGAGGGCAAATCAGGACACACTTGGAGAGGGAGAAAATGGAATTAACTATAGGATGCAAATGCAAGAAGTGAGGGCATGCACAGGGAGGGCAGAATAAGCACTCGATTCCATAACTCTCTGGAGTGTTTTCCCCTAAAAACCTTTCCAATTACTGTAGCTCTTGACTGCTTGAATAAAAGCAAGAAGGAGGATTGCAGAATCAAATGCATTTTACTTTCATATATCCTTGGATAACTCTGCTATCTGCCTCATTTTCTTAGCTGTGTTCTATCTGCTTCTTATATAAAATATCAAAGGCTGCTGCAAGGCTAAAGAGAATGAAGAGTAGCTCCTAAAATCTGCTTGGGAAAAGAAAAAAAAAAGAAGAAGTTTTGGACTTTTCTGTGTGAGAGGTAAAAGGTGTGTTTGTTGAGCACCTGCTTCATAAGCACATATAGGATCAGTTTTGTAGGATGCAGAGCTCTGCTCTGAGCAATGAAAATTTCTGGTAGGACTCACTTTATCATGTTGACATCTGCAACTGGGCCAAATGAAAACATCAGGGTCTGCTCACAGATTCCCTGCAAATATCCTGACTAAGGGATTGAGAAGCAAAGAGGGTGAGGGACTGGCCTAAGCTGACACAAAACGTGTGTCTTCAGGGAGATCTTGGAGCATTTCTTGGTTCCTGGTGGCAGGGGAGACCCTCTGCTCTGCTCTGGCTGCTGAGATCGTGGGTTACTAAAGCTGCAGGGCTTTTCTGGGAGATGAAGGGAGGAAGAATAATAAAGGAAAGACAGTTGAGTCCACAGGCTTACCCAACATCGAAAAAGTAAATCCTGACAATGGTCCAAGCAGTGATGAACACGGAGGGGGCACCTGGCAGGAGAAAAGAGATGGTGTCACTGTCAGAAATCATTATCAGGGTCCTCAGGGCTGTTCTCCCTCACTCTCCATCTCTCCTGAGGTGATGCCTTCCCTCAGGACTGGGCAAATGCTCCACCTTTTTAATGCTCACAGGCCTAACAGGCAACGTGTTGCCTTCCTCTCCCACTGGCCATGTGAGACGAGTTTCCTGGAACTGCTCCCCAGCAGTTAAATTCCTGTTGCAATGCCTAAAAAAAGGACTTCAGGTTGTGAAATGCAAGGAATAGGGATCACTCTTCAGGCATTTACAGTGTGGATACTTGTAGCGAAGGCAGTCACCACAAGCTCTCTGCAGCATCAACGGGGAGAAATACGTGCTTCTAACACACAGGTCATTGAGCTTTAGGACAAGAAATATGGAATATCCCTTGACTGTTTTGCCTGGGCTTCCACTGACCATAAAGGGAGCCTGGAGTGACAAGTTCCCATGTAGGTGTCTGTAGCTGGCCAGATGAACCTGCCTCTGCTCCTCACTCCATGATCTTCTGTAGGACTAAGGTGGTCTTGCTCCATCACTGTGGTCCCTCTTTTCCCTGTCTCTTGTCTTGGACTAGATTTAGGTTGGAAATACTTCGGGAAGGACGTGTCACTTTGCTCTGTGTCACTCACAGTTTGTGTACAGTTTATTACCAGTGATTTCCGAGTGCAATGGTAATAAACCCAGTAAGAACTGTAATTAGTGCATCCAAATTATTAATTCATGTATAATCCATTTCAGATCCATCACTGATGCTCTTGCAAGTGATGGATGACTAAAAGGCCAAAAGGTCCCTCAAGCCATTTCCTGGAATTACCCTTCTTCACTCAAGCAACCTCAGAACACATTACAAGTCAAAGAAATGATCTTTGATTTAAAATCATTACTTTCATTCATTTTTCTTTAAGATCTGCAGCTCCAAGGTGCCGAAACAAAGGATATCTATGCACAAGGCATGTTTAAAGAAGGTCTGACCTGATTAACTGCATCTAAATCAAGACCTGCCAATGTCATCCCTTCTTGTGCTCCCAGCACAGAGAACCGTCCCTCTTTTGTGGTGTGAACCCAAGCATAACTCCTGTCACTTCCAATGGAAGTTACTCCATGGTTGATTGATCAAATTCTGAGTCCAGATGTATTCCTGGACATGACACAATTTTATTTTATCTTTTCAAGCTTCTTCCTTGCTCTCATTATTCCTCAGTTTTAGCTATTGAGAGCATTCAGTAGAAAGCTATTTGCTTACTTAAACATAAATCTTCAACCAAATGGCATTAAGGGGAAAATAAGATTTCCGATTTCTTTCTGGAGAAAGAGAAGAAGTTGATCTGGTAGGATTAATTTGCACAGGTTAACAATTCAGTTGTGAGTTGCTTTGTGAAGAGCTTAATTCCGTCTTCCTTGGCATTTTCTCATTGTATTTTATTCTATTATATTTCACAGAATCCTTTTATTTCTTTATTTTATTTTATTTTATTTTATTTTATTTTATTTTATTTTATTTTATTTTATTTTATTGTGTTCAAGACTGGATTTTCGTATTATTGCCGGAGAAATGCATTTAATGCATTACATTTGCATTAAAGCTGGAGAAATCCCAAATGCAGGAAGCAGAAGGTTATCAGTATTGGCACTCAGGTGATGGGAATCCCAGGATAGCTGTCTGGCCTGAATTCAGTAAAACAGAGGGAGTGATGGGCTGCAGTGTCTGGTTCAGTCCAAGAGCTCTGCTTTGCTGGGATCCATCCTTACAATTTAGGCTCACTGCGTGATATCAACTTTGGAATTACAGTCAGGATCAAACCACTGAATAATTATAAAGGTGAGGAGGAGTTTCAGGCCCGGAGTCCTTAAGGACACTGAAGAGATCAACTATCAAGCCAGAACAAACTGAGTCCTTAAATACCTTTGAAGATTTAGGTTAATGAAATTGGGGCAAAGCCCCTGGACATCCCTTGATCTTGCTGCTGGCTGCACGAAATCCTTGGCAGCAAGGTAACACATACAGGATCCTGGAATGGTTTGGGTTGGAAAGGACCTTAAAGCTCATCCAGTTCCAACCCCCTTCCATGGACACCTTCGCTAGCCCAGGTTGCTCCAAGCCCCGTCCAACCTGGCATGGGACGCTTCCAGGGATAGGGCAGCCACAGCTTCTCTGGGCAACCTGTGCCAGGGCCTCCCCACCCTGGCAGAGAAAAATTCCTTCCTAATATCTCATCTAAATATACTCTTTTTCAGTTTGAAGCCATCACCCCTTGTCCTGTCCCTCCATCCCTTGTCCCCAGTCCCTCTCCAGCTCTCCTGGAGCCCCTTTAGGCACTGGAAGGAGCTCTCAGCTCTTCCTGGAGCCTTCTCTTCTCCAGGTGAACACCCTCAGCTCTCCCATCCTGGCTCCAGAGCAGAGGGGCTCCAGCCCTCAGAGTACCTTTCTGGCCTCCTCTGGACTTGCTCCAACAGGTCCATGTCCTCCTTATGTTGTGGGTCTCAGAGCTGGACACAGGACTGCAATTGGGGTCTCACCAGAGCAGAACAGAGGGGCAAAACCCCCTCCCTCAACCTGCTGGTCACGATCCTTTCGATGCATCCCAGGACATGGTTGGTTTCTGGGCTGTCAGGGCACATCCCCAGCTTGTGTCCAGCCTCTCATCCACCAGCACCCCCAAGCCCTTCTCAGGACTGTCTGCTACACCTCTGCCCCATCTGAGTCCCCAGGTTTCTGGACTAAAAATGCCAGGCAGGATCTCCTGCTGGCACTCAGTTTGGAGGAGATGCGTACCCCAGCCGATCAGGATGTACCACCAGAAGTACTTCCTCTCTGAAAAGAAGGAGATGACCAGCAGGGTGTGAAGGTACAGCCCCTCCACCAGCAGCCAGAAGAAGTTGGCCATGACACAGTACTGGAAGAAAACCATCATGGCTTTGCAGCCTACCTGGAAGAGAAGAAAGGAACAGTGGTGAACTGCAGAAGGGACACCAAACTACCAGGAAAACCTTGCTCTGTGTGTATCTTTGGGATTGCTTTGTGCAGAACCTGAAGTCCTTCTGGAATGAGTTCTATGGTGAAAAGCCAAAAGCCCTACCCAGCTTTTTGGAGTGGACATGGTTGACAATCTCTAAATGGACAGTGCAGAATCCTTGAGAGCCAGCTCAGGTCTGGGTGCTGTTTGATTGAGCCTGGGAATGCACTCAGGCTTGGCAACCCTGCTGACAAACTGCTGGGCCATGATCCCAACCAGCACGGTGTTGTTCTCTGGAAGTTTTGGATGCACATCTGTGGGAAGCTGGTTTGGCACAGAGTGGATGCCAGAAGAACCCTCCAAAAAGGCACTGCCTTGAGTTGGGATCAACTCAGTCAGCTTGCTCATGGCCCCAAACCTCTCAAGAGTTCCAGAAGTGGTTTTACAACACTCTCAGGCAGATGGTGTGATTTTTGGGGTGTCCTGTGCAGGGCCAGGAGTTGGAGTCCATGATTCTTGTGAGTCCCTTCCAAGTCAGGATATTCTATGATTTTGTGATCATGAGGAATGACATTGTGGACTTGGTCATCATCCTCAGTGGGGCTGCCTGCTACTGTTACCTGGCTCCTTAAACCCAAGCAAATGATCCTCAGGATTAAAAAAACCCCAACAAACAAAAACCCAACAAAACTCCAAAAAACCAACAACAAAAAAAACCCCCAAAAGACAAAGCAAAAAAATAAGTCCAATTCTAATCACTCCACGGGCTGGTATGAGATAGGAGTTTGAAGAAAGCCAAGTCTACAACAAAATGCTCCTCAGTTAGGAAAAGAAGGACAGGGATATATATATTTATATATATATTTAAAGTAGAGGATAAGAAGGAGAAGTAGGGTAAACACACACAAGCATGAACATATTTGATTACACTGGAAAGGGTGAGATTGGAAGAGGGAAGGTGCATTGGTTTTTTCCAGGAAATGAATAATTAAACACAGCAACTCACTGTGTGAAGATTTCACTGCAGCCCAGCGAATGGGAACCGTTCCCTCACAAAAAAAATAAAATAAATAAAAAGGGAAATTTCTGACACTTAGGGGCCAAACCCACTGCAAAACACCTGAAGGTAGGAATCAGCTGCCCTAAGGAATATTCCAGTGCTGGTTATTGCCACAGCACGTGAAGAATCCATGTTCAGCTGCAGGTTTACAGGAGGTCACCAGTTGCATCACTGAGATGCTGACTCAGCAAAAGCCCCGTTGCCTTCAGTGAGTCTGCTGGAATAATAACCTGCAAGAGAACCTGAGTCTGCTGAAATAACGCCCTGGAGGAGAACCTGACTGCCAGAACTTGCTGATTAGTGGCTCTTCCCTGGTGCTCTGCACGTGCAAGATACTGAATTTAGAGCAATAATTGACTTGCCCCAGTGACAAGGTCTCACTTTGCCCCCATGTTCCCCTCTCCTGCTGAAAACAGTTGCTGTGAAACACACTGGTTAAAAAGGTGAGTGTGGAAAGTGTCTCCTTGGTGCCACGTGTTTTGGAAAGGGACTTGTTGCCACTGATCACTCCAGATTAGTTCACCTGTCAGTGTGTGACACTGGGGACGCTCCTGGGCTCCTGCTGAACAATTTCTGTGCCCATCAGCTCCCTGGTGAGGCAGAAGGCAGGGGCAGGGACTTGCTGCAGGGTGGGGATGGGAGAAGGTGGAGGCAGAGCAGGCAGGTAACTCCCTTTCAACTCAGAATATTCCATGTTTGACTTCAGGGACTCCCAGGGAGGGAAGGTGACACAGAGCTGAGCTGACAAGGGCTGGGGGTGCAGCAACTTCATCCCCATGGCATCACTACATTTGTTTTTTTTTTTCTTTCCTGCTCTTGTGTGGCATTCCCACACCTCATTCCTCTCACCCAAATCCTGAGCGCCTGCTGGGGGTGTGTGTGTGCAGCCAGCACAGGGATTCGAGGGTGTGAGAGGACTCAGCCCCACTGGGGCCACTGAATCCTTTCAAGGTTTCACTTTATCAATATTTGGCTCTAACTCAGCAGCTCACAGGTGAGACACGAGGTTTAAGGGGGCAGTTTTGAGGCATCTCAGCCACATGCTCATAAAATATGGATTCCCTTAGGGGGTTGTACATTAGGGAATCCTTTCTGGATGGTTGCACTGCACTAATGGCACAAGCACGAGGCTGGAGCACATCACAAGGAACTGCAAGATTTTACAGGACAGGGAAAAGCTGCTCACAAAAAGTGCACGTGATTTCTGCCCAGCAGAGACTCTCAGGAAGGGATTTCCAGCCTGACTTTGCTGCAAAGAGCTGGAGCTGTGCTGAACCCAGGCTGTGGTAGCAGAAACCCCAGATCCAGGGGCCTAAATCCATCACCTTTTCTCCCTTATTGGCAACCTTTGCTTTTGTGGTGTTCTCTGGCCCTACTTTCTCCCCTAAAATGGTGGTGGCTTGTTACAGACCTGAGGTGGATCATGGTCAGCACTTGGACTTGCTGATATCAGAGGTCTTTTCAGTATTAATTATTCCATGGTTTCATTCTTCTATTCCCATGGGTAGCAGCTGGGTTTTGGCATCTTCTTCCCTGAGAGACCTGCAGCAGATCAATTCTTTGCTCCTTGCTGAGGGGTATTTACCTGCTTGAGCAGTTGCTACCACCCCTGGAATTTTGGGGTTTACCTGGAGAAAAGCTACTTTTGTGGACCATTTTGAGCACATCTTACAGCCAGGGATCCCCTGCAGCATGGGGATGTTCTGCAGAGTTGGAACTGGAACAGAGTTGGATGCACTGTCCTGTCTTTAAAATTAAATAATGATATTTTTTTGCCGCCTGGGTTTGCCACTATTGCCTAAAGTGGGCAAATTTATACCAGACCAGATATTTCTATGAGAGATGCACTTGCCCTGTTGAATCCTCTTTGACATCTGACTCAGAGACACATTTGGAAAACAGCCCTTCCTGGCTTTTGAGAGACCTTATTACATGCAGCCCTTGGTAATGGGTCTCTACCTTTCTGATTGATTAGATTGAGCCTCAGAGAGGCTGTTATAGTGCTGGGAAATAAAATCTATGTTTATGTAAGATGTTTTACCCTTTAGATGACAGACACTGGGCAGAGATGAGCCATTACACCTCACTGAAGGGTTTTTTTTTCATGAAGAGCAGAACTCATGATGTGTCAGCATTGAAAGACTAGCACAGACTATTTTTAGAACAGACATTTTCAGCAGGAAAAGCTGCATTACTTTACTGCTTTTTCTACTCTCTCCCCTTCCACTGTCTCATTTACAACAGCTTATTTCCCTGTTTTTCTTCAGAGACTTTGCCCTGCTCATGTCCACACGGGATGTGGCAGTGAGATGGTTTTCCTTGGCTTTGTGGATGGCACATCCACCCAAGTGGCTCCTCTCTTCTTCCCCTCTTTGGAATTGTATTAGACATGGGCCTTTTTCTTTTTCTTTCCTTTTCCTTTTTTTCTGTTTTCTTTTCCTTTTCCTTTTCCCTGTTCTTTTTCTTTTCTTTCTCTTTTTTCCTTTCTTTTTTTTCTTTTCTTTTCTTTTTCTTTTTTCTTTTTCTTCCTATTTTTCTTTTTCCTTTTCTTTTTCATTTTCTTTTCTTTTCCTTTTTCCTGTTCTCTTTTCCTTTTCTTTACCTTTTTCATGTATCTTTTTTTCCCTTTCCCTTTTCCCATTTTCCTTTCCCTTTTCCCATTTTCCTTTTCCTTTTCCTTTTCTTTTCCTTTAGTTATGTCTCTTAGACGAGTGTCTGAAATGGAACTACAGTCTGGAGATGTAGTTTCGGGTTTGTCCCGTGCTGCAAAGCCTTAATTTCAGTGTCTCCAAAGCAGACAATGCCTGCCCAGTATTCCCCAATCCTTCAGGTGTGTCTCAGCAATAGGATCATGAGTGGGATCTATAAATAGGTTTTAAATAAGATTGAGGAAACCTCTTTGACCAGGCTAGGGACAAGATCAGCTCTTGCTGTAGGCAGAAGCAGCTGAGTCACTCAGCAGCCCTTCCCACAGGTCGCGTCTTCTGGGCAGTATAAAAGAAAATTGAGATAAATCTGCCACTGACAAAACGAGTTTTCACCAATCTCCCGTTGATTTGTGTAAATCTCCTCCTCCTGCAGCAGGGGTGGCAGCCCAGGGAACAGTACTGAGGGACCTTAAAGGGGAATTTGAGGCCTCCAAGTTTGATGAGGGATTGAGGTAAATCTGAGCGTTCCCTGAGGGCACTGAGGCCTGGGCTGAGGGCACTTCCCAGCTCCATAAACAGTGCCAGGAGCTGCAGCAGTGCCCAGGGCGGCATGTGATGCCTGAAGTGTTGTTTAAAATGATTTAAACATGACTTGGTGCCCTGCCACAAACCTTCCACACCCCAGGAGTGGAGGGTTTATGGGTGTGAGGGTGGAACACGGGGTCTGCACAGGGTCACAACCGTGTCCAGGAGAGATCAGACAGGGGGTTGGACTGGATGACCTTCAAAAGGTCCCTTCCAACTCAAATTGTTCAGTGATTCTATACATGGGGTGGCACAGGTCAGGTCTCATGTTGGGGGTTCCCATGACTGGGGCAATGAGGCTCAGTGTATTCCCAGTCCAGCTGTGACAGGTGGGAGTATCAATCACTCAAGTCCCTCTTTGTACTTCTTTGATCTAAATCTGTCTTGGAACCAAGAAAAAGAAAAAGAAAAAGAGGAAGAAAAAGAAAAAGGAGAAGGAAAAGAAAAAGAGGAAGAAAAAGAAAAAAAAATAAAAAGATAAAAAGAAAAATAAAAAGAAAGAGAAAGGGAAAAGAAAA